GTCTCCTGGTGGTCAACCAGTCGGACAACTATTTTTCCAAGAAGCATTCGGGTCCATTTCAGTTGATATATACGAAGGTGCTTTCATATTAAAGCTAAGACTCTTGTGTAAATTCTTGCCCTGGAAAGTGGTTTTATTGAAAATTCATTCGAGTACTTTAGATACCTGAAATTAAATTTGTACTTACGTACTTTGAAAGTAAAGAGCTTCTTTGGGAAAAAATATTAATCAAACCCTGTGCCTGTGGTCTTCCCCCCTCCTTGATTATGACTCAAATACTCTTCCCCTCCCCCTGGCCAAGGATGTACTGATTAAATGAAATAAGTAAGTAGGTAAATAAATAAATAAACGAAACAAAAAAACTTAGTTGTGCTGAGTCCTTAAACATTTCTCATGTGCATTCATTATGTGCACTGCTTGCAGTTAATGGGAAATTTCAGTCCCTTGTGAAAAGCAATGCTTTCTAAATCATTCTAATTCCTTCCATTTCATTTTCTTCACTACACACACAAAAGGGAAGAAAGTAAATGTCTCCCTATCTTCAAATTCAATTTGAGACATTTTACTTGATGAAATGTATATTTGCGTAAACATTTCTCACTGGGGATGGCATCTAAATTTGCTCTGTGGGACTTGACAGCAGAGGTTTATAACCTTATATTCTACTCATTGATCTCTAGCTGCTGTGTACTGTCTAAGTAATTTCCTATTCATATTTAGCTTAAATTTTAAACGATATAAAGTTTTAAGCCTTACGTATGGAGATTTGGTAGTATGAAAATTTAGTTGTAAATATGCCTGATAGGCAAAGTGCAGAGCAGAATGAACTTAGAAAATCTTTCTTCCATGGCAGGGTTACAGACTGAAATGAGGTTTTATTTAACATTAAATTATTTTGCTATGCAAGAATATGCCAATAAAATACCTGAATGCATATATGGAGGTGGGTAAAATACAAAGCTACTAATGTTCTAGCGTCTATGAAGAAAACCATACAGAACGGGTAAAGAAGATATGTTCCTTCAAAATGACAGAGAAACATAGATTTTTGCCTTCAATACTTAAGAAAGTAGTCGTCAGAGGACTGAACTAATTTTCCAGGATTTTTATTATTAATGTGTGCTTCTCTTTTTGTTTTTTACTTTTGCAGTGACTAAATATACAAAGTTATTACACCCAGTTCTACAACTGCAAGCATCCTTCTATCTGAAGCCTCAAAGCAGACAGAGAATTACATGTGACCAAGTAATACTCAGCTTAAGTCAGGTTTGTTGAATTGACACACTAGAAAGTACTGTGAAGGCAGAGGAAAAACATACATTCTTAACTTTTTGAATATAATGGCAAGCAGCACTTGTATTTGTTCTAGGAAGTATTATGCAGTAAAAGACTTACTTTCAACATGCAAAATTGCATAGTTCTTTGTTAAACAAAAATGGAATTGATACATGGATATTTAAAGCAATTTGAGTGATTTTAGGGTTTATATTTGTCCTCAAATAAAGGACAAATTTGTTCCTATTTTATCCAACCTCACTGTAATTGAGTTTCTGTGTATAAATCCTTACATAATTTCATAAAAGGTTAATGAACATATTGAACTAAAACTGAAACTTTGCATAGGCTAATAAATATGTGGATGATGTAATAGTTTAGCTTTATTTGAATTTCAGACCTGCAGTGGTTTGAGATATTCCTGTTCCAAAATTCTGGTACATTTTACACAGGAGCTCCACATAGAAAGTTCAGATGCTGGAAAGCACAAATTTGGTGATGCTCAGATCATGAGTTTTTGGGTTGGTATCAGTCCCATTTCTCCTAGGGTTGTGATTATAAAGACAGGTTGGTTTTGTTATTAAAAGCCTTGTACTTTACATCTTTGAATGTTAGGTGCTTTCTAAATTAGATGTCAAAGTCTGCAGGTTTCAATTCAAACAAATTCTCTAAAAAGTAAGCCTTCTAATGTCTTTGGCAACACAACTTTGCACAGATCCTTTCCCCTTTCTTTGAATGAGAGGTTATTCTCTTCTTATAGGTGGAGTGAAGGTCCTGTGAAGTGCAGTGATATGAAATAACTGTGTCCAAGATAACATGACTTGTTGGCAGAGGAGAGAAGATTATTTTGAGTCTTCAATGCAGTTTTTACAACCAAAGTGAGTTACTGTATAAAGAGCCATTTAGCTGCTTTAATGCAGACAAGTGGAATGACAGAGTCCTTCTTACCTATATGTTTTAGCCATTAAATGACTCTCAGAGCAGGCTCACACTACTCTCTCACGCCTCAGCAGCAGCTTTTACCGTAAAAGCAATGCTGAGAAGAATGATCAACTGAAGTTTTCTAACTAACTCCATCACATGATTCAAGAAGTTCAAAAAACATTATTAGTTTACACATGGTGTAAGCTACATTGTCACAAAAAAGGTAGAAGAACACAACTTTCACTTGCACCTAAGACTAGCCTGTTCCTAATTTGACTGTTAGGAAACCACTTGATAGTACTGATCAAAAACTTGCTGCACAGCAGATAGGTGTTATCTGCCATTCCATTTTGATTATTTTTAGTCACAAACAGGTAAAGCGCTTATCAATAGAACTCATGAAGTTTAAGAAATGTCTTTATTTTGGGCGTGACTCCCATGGTAGTCAAATTGCTGAACAGAACTATTACTTAAAAGTTAAGATAGTTTAAAGAAATTGTGACTGACGTGCAGAACTATCTAAAATCAACAAAACTCAAGTGGATGGCTTAAGCAGGGATTTACCTACAGTATATACATAAAAACATGCCTGTTCCCTTCAATTTGGGAAAGCTAACAAAAGCTTTTCTATTGATTGCAATCCATCTTTAGCTCCATGCACCATCAGTGAGCAAACCAGGTGAGACTTCCATTTAAATTTATTTGCAATACAGAAGAGCGAGTGAATCAAAACAAATCTACAGCAAGGGATGTCTGTACTGTAGTTCCCAAATGGGAAGGGAACAAAGGAGAAAAAGGAAGACATGTTTGAAATTATTATGATGAACTTATCCTAGAAGATGCAAATGAACTATAAGAATTCTGGCAGTATTTCTATCCTTTGGCCAGAAACAGGCTGCAGCAAAGCCCTGGAAACAAATGCTCTCACAGAGTTAGTGTTGCTATAGAGGGAATTACAGTAACAGTGCAGATACTGAGCAGCTGACAATTTAGGAGTTTAGTTTTCTCTTCAGTACACTAGATGTTTATCTATCTGGTCCAGAAAAAAAAAGACAGTCAGAAGTTAAGCCACTGCTTTTAGATGGCCTGAGAGAAGACACAGTAACAATTTCCCATCTAATTCTTGTTGCTGTGACGTTGTGACCCTGAACTGTGCTATCTGTTACAGCCTACACATAAGCCAGATTTTCAATAAAAAGCTCAACACCTTAAAAGGCCTTTCTGTTTCTGAGACGTCCATGTAAGTGGCCAATTGTCTCGGAAAAATAGCTGACCATACCTGCAGCATGATCACACCTGACACTAAATGCAGAAGCTATTATCATGGAAACCTATTTTTTGTGGACTTTTACATTCACCTACAATTATTTTAATATGGCTCTGGAGCTTACAGATGCAAGCTGTCTTGCATCTGATCAGACTGGAGGAGAGGTACAGCAAGTGTGTGGTTCTACTGGATAAGATATCCAGTATGAGAGACAGAGAATGTAATGGCATCCAGGTTTGCCTGTTATGGTCCGTGCTCTAGTCAAGGGACAACCGTTTCAATCCTGGGTCAGGGTACAACCCCTCTTATAGGGTACTTTACCCCACAAATGAAATCCTCCATTAATCTAAATTAGCAAATATACTGTGGTTGCTAGTTGATTTCATCTGAAAGACTGATATGAAACTTTCTTAAGAAAATGATTTGCAATTTTTCAACAGGTTTAATTGAAACTAAAATTGAATTTGTCCATGCAATGTGTAACCTTTAAACAATCAATGGCTGTACAATTTCAGTAATGAGTCTTTAAAATTAGAATTATTGAAAAGGCTTATGAGTAGTGATAAACAGAATAAGGTGGTATTGATTGGGCAGTGGAAGACATTGATTTGAACTGTAAACAGGCATTATGCTAGAAGAATTGTATTACTGTACATCTTTTTGCTACTTTTACTCTGAGTCACCTCTGAGAGAAGATTCATAGTATTTATTTGATTATGATTTTAGTGGGCTTTTTAATAGCTCGGGCAGATTTATGGCTGAGGAAACATGAAAGTCTGAAAAACATCATGTAAAATGGATTGAAGGCACAAATTTCTACAAGCTTTTTGCATATTGTAGATTGTGAATGCTTATGATTTACTGAACAAATATCCTTACCATATAAATGTGTTTATATTGTGCCTGCAAATGAGCTCTCTCAGTATAAAATTAGAGTTGTATGCATCCTATTTAATCTATATATTATATTTCATCCTTACTTTAGCCAAACAAGAAATTTTGTACTAACATTTGTGAAGCCTGTAGGGTATGTATGCCTATATTTCAGAACAGCAAACTTGAGAATTACTAGAAATCTTCCAGTTTCATTCAGGAAAGATAGAATTATATTCTATCTAATCTACAATTAAATAGATTGTTATTATATCAAATGACACAACATAAAGAACTAAGGAATCAGGACCACAACAAAAATAGACACTTTTTAAATAGAGAAGGTGGTGCTCTCTGCCATGAACGGGCTGTTAATCCAAATGTGGCTGAAGGTGAAGACCCAGAGTGATTAACATTTTTACACAAAATGAGTTAATATGTTCTCAGTCTAACTTTAATTGGTAGGTAAGCAACTAAATGGGGAAAAAGAAGATTACACATAAAGGATAAAAACTGTTTAGGGAATAAAAAGATAATTAAAAAAAGAATTGAAAGAAAGAAAAAGATGAACAAACAGCAATTCTGCACAGGCTAGAGAAAATTCAGTAAAACTTAAGTTCTGCAAAAAGATCAAAAGTTTCTGGAAGACTTAATATCTTACCCTTCACATCTGCTACAGCAGTCTTTGCTTTGGCTGTTATTGTTCATCCCTCCTCTCACCAGCATGGAGCTGTGTTGCTAATTTCGTACTTGCACTGCGTGCAAGTCTCTTATCGATGTCAGTGGAAATGTCAAGCATGAAATGTGTTTAGTATATGCAACAGATTTGTACTGAGAAGAAAATTTTGCCTGTTTTGTCTTCAGGCTTGACGCAGATCTGACCTTAGAAAAACATGCAAAGCTTGGCACTTGCAACAAGGTTCAAGTAACATCTTTTTAGGAGCTGATTATCATCTCATACTGACTGTATACTCATCAATTCTGGTGAATTCACCCAATGGACACGTTTCTGAGCCCTCACAGTTTGTCATTTGGCAGATATAGGATCTAAAACATTTAAAAGGCATCACAGTTCTGTTTTTTACTGGTCTCAGTAGGAACTGGACTCAGCTCAGTAGGAGCCGAACACTTTGCAAAATCTAGAAACTGGATGTAAGTATCTAAACAATAGCTGCCTTTTTCTGAAAAATGAGGTTACTTATTTAACTTACATAAAACCTAATGGCTGCAAACCTGTTTTGATCTAAGCTTGAAGTTTAAGAAAACTATGTTAATAATACTTGGCAGGTCTATATTTTTCTTTCTTTACACATCCATTTTTAAAAGACCATAGGGCTTTTTTACTTTTTCCTTGGTTTGCTGAGTGCTGAATATACACCAGTGTAATGCAGCATAATTTCATAATATGCCTGCAACTTTGCCCACTGTAAGAAATTCCATATTCTTGCATTTGTGAAAGAGAACGATTTGTCTTTTAAAAGTTCTCCCTCAGATGCGTTTCTGGAAAATGTAGTGAAGAGTTTGTCCTTCACTGAACTGGTTGAGGAACATAACTGATTTCAAAGTTTATCCTCGCTACAACATGAGTAGGGAAGGGGCGGAAGGGCTTCCACTACAAGGAAAACGTAGACATTAATTTGGAATGCAGACCTGATTTTTTTCATAAGGCTTCAAAGTTTCATGTCAGCTTCATATAAAACTGTTTCCAGTAAAAGCTACAAACCCACCAGTGTAAGTTTTTCTGTTTATCTGTATCTATCACCCATGCATACGCGTATGTGCACAAACATACAAAAGGGTGAGGATAGTAGGTCATCTGGAGATCTTTATTATTGGTTTTTTCAGGTACTTTTATGTATTTCTAATTTGAGACTATCCTTACACAAAATCTCAGATCAACACATGCCAAACAGTAACACTACTTCTGCTCTGGTCAGCACTTTCAATGGTTGGACATGCTGGTCAGATGTGAGATTTCTCTCTTTTACAAACACATGGAAGAACATGTTCTAGAAATACAGGGGACCACAAAATCCTGAGAACAGAAATTAAGGACAACCAGGTACCTCACAAGAGAACCAAGATGTATCCTGGATGAACGACAGTCGTTCAGAAGCTGTAAACAAAACTCTCTAAAATTCCTTCTCTGGAGGAAAGGAATAAGGCAGCCAGGAGATCAAGGCCTGGAAATATCCCCCCACCCAGGGACGACGCAAGTGCTGGGTGAGAGGGAGTCAGGAGAGGAGTTGGAGGGGTCCTTCCCCCGTGCTCAGGAGCACCTCAGAGCCCTAGCCCTTGACCCAAGACCTGCCCCACCATGGGCCCATCTGACCTGACCCACCACTCTGGCACCTGCTTCTCCTGGACATCTCTGGACATGCCTTCCTGGTTCTGGCCTCACTCAGCTCACTGGAGTGTGGTGGGACTGTGCCCACCAGAACAAAGTGGGGAGGGCATGGATTTGCTGGCTTGTGGACACCTGCTTACCCATGGTCCATGACCTGTGCTGGCCCCTAGCCTATCTGTCTGTCTGTCTATCTGTCATAAAGTAGCTATTTTCTTGTTCTTTTAAACTGCATTGTTTTCATTGTTAAGAGTTTTCAAGCAACTTCAGATTTACTGTCAAAAAGACTCTGAATCTCCACATTTGGCCGAATGCTGTCAAAAATAATTATTCATCTGAGTATTTACTTTGTAAATGCCTTTGCTGGTATTCAGAAGTCATACTTCATTACTTTCCTGCTTCAAAAGCTTGAGTCATCCAGTCAGGCTCTAGAAGCTACTCTTGATGATCTCAACGGTCAATCATACAGGACTAGTAAGCCAAGGCAGACCAACATCTGAAATCAAAGCAAAATGTTAATCCTGCATGTTATGCACAGACACAAAAGTTTGAATTTCAGAGACAAAATCTTATACTGTCTTTTTTTTATTTACTAAAATGCTACTCAACATTCAAGTTTGGTATGTTTTATGATTGCAGTTGTGCCATGGAAATCTCTCATTTCCATAGAATTGCTTGCCAGAATCTAATCTTTCATTTAAATAAAAAGTGTTGATATTTATTACATTTGGATACCTAGATACTTAGAGACTTCATCTGCATTAGTAGATTTTTTTTCTCTTAGGCAATACAGATGCAGACAGCAAGAAACACACTCTTCTATGGCCAAAACCTCCAAATGCCAACAGCATATAAACAGACGTAGTGCTCTACTCTGCAAATAGCCTGAAACAACAGCTCTGAAAGGTGCAATGTGTCCTCTTTATAGCAATAGTATATTAAGTGTGAAATGGAAAGATGTAATAAAAAAAAAATATAAACATTTAACTACTCCTTATGCAATTTGGATCATAAAGTCAAGGTACGAACTCAAACCCTAGCTACTCATCATGTTAGATGTAGATAAGTTTGCCACAGGCTGATGTCCAAATGCAAAAAACTGTAGCTTAAATGCAGTCAAGGTGGCAGATTTTCATTTTTACATTTTTCATTTCTACATGGTTTTGTAACACATTAAGCAAATTGAAATTAACTCCACAACACAGGAATGTATTTTAAAAAAAAAAAAATCTGTGGTCATAAAATAAATCCTTGGGAGATTTGAGAAGTCTATTATAGAATTCCACATTTTTTTAAATTTCTCTCCATTAATTTTCCTTAAGTTTAAAAAATACTGAGTACTCGCTGTGGAGTAAACAACAATATGAAGGAAGTTTCTCCTCTTCTTCACCCCCCCTTCTCTCAGTATATACATTAGGGCGAGACAAGCTCCTGAGTTACACCCCATGGATTGTTACACAGAGCCCCAATTCCAGGGCACTGGTCCCAAAACTGGGAGCAGGGTCTGGGATTACTTCACCTCTGAAGGTTGGTCTACATGGACTAAAGAGTTCATGCAGATGAATGTGAACTTGTGCGGATGGGCAGATGGAAGGGTCACTTGACACAAAACGTCCTTGACTGCAGGATGAATTCAGAGTGTGCAAGATTAGGACTGAATGGATTGTGTTCAGCCTAAGTGAGGGACAGGCAATGTTTTAGTTCAGATTGAAATATCTGAGTTTTACGCTAATTGTTTGAAACAGTAACTGGATTTAGGACGCAGAATTCATCTCCCTCCAACCCTAGCAAATCTCTTTGTTAGTGGGGCTTGCCTTCTATTTTGGCAAAGGACACAGCTGTAAACAGGAATAACAAAAAACAAGTTGAGCCACCACCCTGAAAAAATATATAATGATGATGCTTAATGTAGTACTCTAGTTGTTGGAGAGTTTTTCATCATCTTGAACAATTTTTCTAGTCACTCTGGTATTGTTGCCAGGGCTCTGAGGACTCTAATAGGCCTTAATAACCCAACCCAACTTCACCTGGGACTTCCACCTACACACTTTGCCTATGGGCTGAGGAGCCCTATTTATGTGCAGGCCTGTGCCTTTACCTCTTTCCTAAGCTGAGTTATCTCCATTCCTGTCTATGGTTGTGATGTACTTTAAGAAGGTAGAATGTACTTTTTAAAATGTGAAATATATTTTAGAAGGTGGAATCTCTCACTAGGTAAGAATAAAGATTGCATGAATCAGCTACTGTACAACAGGGCTCTTTGGTGAGGATACTGCCTGTGCTGGGTTGCTTTTAGCTCTTGGTCCCTCCTCTGTTATGGGGCAGTCCCACTCTTTCTGCTCCCTGGAAAACGTAGGAAAGGGGTACACAGCTAATATGTTTTTGTCAGGAGTGCCTGTGGCAATGTGCATGAACCAAAATTGGCTGAAGGAAGTAGGGTCTCCTCAGGCTGAGTAGCGAAGCACTGAGTTGTTCAGCCTTACAGATATGGTGACTGTTTTGTTACATGTGCTGGCAAAGATGCCAAGGAGATGTTGAGTTGATTTCTCACGTGAAGGGCCTGTTTAGAGATCACACTTGGCATGCTCTTAAGTGCCAAAACCTCTCCTAATTCCCACTGGGGATCTGTATCTCCACCCAACAGGCTCACAGCAGTAGTAATTACGCAATGCAGAGTCTATTTCTCACCATGTTTCTGTCATGACACCATCCATTCCACTAGAGCACCTATCTCAGCGTTCAGAGATGTGATTTTTCTGTATTTTTACTACTACCACTTCCTCAACTGTAGTTTAGCCGTAGCCACGAACACTGGCAACCAATGCTTTGTCTCCAACTACCACCCATCTGTACAACTTCTCTGCAGGCAGCCTGCCCAGATTTGCCTGGCAAAATATCTGCAGATATTAAGTACTGAAATCTCTTCTGAGCATGGGATGGTCTGGAGACTGCTGACAGAACAGAAGGAAAATTTGCTGTTATAAGCGGGCACAGGCTGCTCTTTTTGACCTTCCCAGGCAGAAAAGACCTATGGCTATTTTAATGTGATTAACAAACACAAAAATCCTCTTTGCATTCCTTTTGTATTTTTGCCTTTGTGCTACCTTAAGTACTAGAACCAAACATGAGGTAGTTTAACCATAAGTCACTAGAAAAAAAAATACAAATTATTTTTCTTGTAGAATAATTTCAAAATAAATTTTATGCCCACAGTAGTCATGGATGAGGCATTTCAGTGTGATGATTTCCATCTTAATGGCTTAATCAAACTATTTTTAAGGTTTATGTCATTTCTGATTCATCTGAACTACTTACTGAGGATAAAATAGCTGTGCAATTTATTATTACTTTTAAATTTTATATTTC